TAAAGTGTTTCAACTGCTGAATAATTTAACCAGGCTTTCGGCGTGAGCGTTAAATCGCGTCGTAAAAGATCCCTGCTAGCCTGCCCGGATTACGGTATTTTTTTTAGCTACAGTACCTGAAGAAAAATGACATCAACTTGTGGTTGTCAGCCGACAAAAATTTGCGGCACAAAATCAAAATCTTAATTGGATTTGTTTTTAGGGCCTTTTGTGTTTGCCCCATAATCCGATGAGATTTTTAGCGAATTACCCCGCTGAATTACGGTATCGACAAAAAGGAATTCTCCAAGGGCCACTGCCAGATTGGTATTTGGGTGGATTGACAATAATAACAGCTGTAGCCGCATTGTAGACGAATTCAGAGCCCGCAACAATACGTGTTTTTAAAACATTTATTTTTTTGAACGATGCTTACTGCCATAAAATCAAGAAACTCAATAATAAACTCTTATGAATCCTTTTTTTCTGGTAGATAAAAACCTAAGGCCTGCCATTTTCGAGCCAGATAGGTTTGTCAACATACGAGTCGGCATTAGCAAGGATTTAAAAGCCCATGAGAGCGCATTTTGATGGAACATCATTTTTCTCAAAATGTTCTCCGTGTCGATTCTCGAACGACCGATTTCACATAATTGCAATATATGGCTCTTGAAAGTCTCTGGCTCTCTGTTTGCCAAAAAAAATAAAAAGTAATTTTGTCCGTCTGGTTGGACTACGGTATTCCCCGGGATACGATAGCTAACAAAAGCGTTTCCACAATAGTCGCTGCTAGTCGGCCATTCCGGGCGAAAATAGCCCAAAAAAAAGAAAAAAGAAAGAAATCCCTTATCCCGAATTTTTATTTTTTAATTTTTGATTCTGGGCAGGCTAGCACGGATTATTGGCGGAATACAGGAAACGCCCCCCCCCCCGCTAACAGTCCAGAACCGCCGAGACGCATTAAGAAAATGTTGTGAGGAAAATATTTTTTTTGATTTCCAGATTTTTTCGTAATAAACAGTGCACCGCACACAAGGCCGTTCGGCAATTAATTTTGATGAAACATGTTTTTCGGGCTTTTTGCCAAAGCTTTCTAATTATAGGCAGCCTAGCAGGGGTTCATGGCGGAATTCAGGGAACGGACTTTCCTCCCCCGTTAACAGTACAGCACCGAGCTGAATTACAAAAAGTAACGAAAATGAAATGTTCTGGATCTCCTGCTTTTTATTTGTTTTAATAACATCGCTGTATTTGAATTCGCAGAAAACCAGTGCCGCAAGAAATTAGGAGGACGCAACACTATTTGACGATTAATTTTTACGAAACATATTTTTTTTAAAATTTTTTTAGCTAAATTTTCGAATTATGGGCAAGCTAGCAAGGATTCTTTATGGCACACAAAGGACGGCCCCCGCTAATAGTACAGAACCGAGATGAATTACAAAAAGTAACGAAAATGAAATGTTCTGGATCTCCTGCTTTTTATTTACATCGATCACCCCCGCTATGTTGGAATTTTTCCGTGGCTGGGTCACCCTATTAGCCCGGCGTAAAGTATTTTCAGAATTAATTTTTATGAAACATCATTTTTCATTTTTTCAAAAAATTTCTTCCATATCGGCATGCCAGCAGGGATAGTTTGCGGAATGCAGCTTCTAAAACCTTAATAAGTATTTTTCTTTAGTTTTCTGATTTCCCCCTAATAAGCAAGCTATATTGGAATTTTTGAAAAGCGGGCAGTGTGTCAATTAGCGTGCGGCAAAACTATCTGACAACTTATTTTTATGAAACATAATTGAATTAAACTATTAAAGAATTTTTTCACTTCCTGCTTTCCCTTTAATAACCAAGCTACTGGAATTTGCGAAAGCTTCATTAAAATAGTGCAAAATAATTTGTAATGGAATTTTTATAAAACATCCTTTTTTAAATTTTTGAACTAAAAGTTTTTGATTTGCGGCTGGTGGGGATACTTTGCGCTTTACATTTTAGAAATAATCATTTTTAATGTTTAATGTTTAATGTAACTGCTTGTCCTCCTAATAATCCCGATATGGCTCGAGCTCCAATTAACGTGCGGCAAAACTATCTGACAACTTGTTTTTATGAAACACGTTTTACTAAAATTTTGTTGATTATAGGCCGACTGCACAAATTCTTTGCGGAAAACGGAAAACTTACGCGCACGCTGCCCCCCAATTGGAACATTTCCATTTTCAGGTGACCCCCTCGTGTCCAGCCGGTGACGCGAAGATTGCTCCCGATTTCCGGCGTCGATGAGCGCCCCGCAATATCTGAGAAGTAACGTATTTTTATTTATTATTTATTGTATATTGTAGTCTGGCTGCCAGGTTAGCGCTTCCCATCGAAAAATTTATGACGATTCCAAAAAGCAAAAAGTTTGGGCGCGGCCAGGAGTTGAACCCGCGTCGTTTGTCTGGCACCCTTTCTGCCTATTGTAGTCCAGTTTTAATGGCTGTACTTTGTAGTCTAGATGTCAGTTTAGCCCTTCCGATGAAAAATCAGACAAAAATTCAAAAAGCAAAAAGTTTGCCGCGGCCGGGGTCGAACCCCGGTCGTTCGCCTGGTGGCTTTTCTATAGTCTGTAGTCCAGGTTTAAAGGCTGTATTCTGTAGTCTGGCTGCCAGTTTATAGATTTCAGTGCAAAAAAAGCTATTTCCATTTCGTATTCGGCACTATAGACAGTTCGAAAAAATCGAAGCCGGTCAGTCCCTCCCCTTTCTAGCCAATCGAATTCCAATTCTTCTCTTCTTATTCTTCCGCTTTTCCCACATTCTATTCACTACCCGTCTCGGTGCGTGGCAGAAAGAAAGATGTTTTGTCAAAATAATAGGCAGCCGACGGGAATTGATCGAGAATTTGATTCCATTTTCTCCTCATCCATTATCCCATTTCTCGCTTTTTTCCGGAATTCGTCATTTTCTAGCTGCAGAAATAGTTATAGTTTGTAGTCTGGCTGCCAGCTTAGTGTTTCCTTGCGCAAAACTGTCCAAGTTTCAAAAAGCAAAAAGTTGGCCCGTGGGCGAGGTTCGAACCCGGGGTGCGCCTATTAAATTTCTGTAGCTTGTAGTCTATTTTTAAATGCTGTATTTTATCGGCTGGATGCCAGCTTAGCGCCTCTATCGGAAGACAAGCTAAATTTTCAAAAAGCAAAAAGTTAGTCGCGGGCGGGAGTCGAACCCGGGTTGCTCGCCTGGTGGCTTTTTTGTAGTCTCTAGTCTATTTCGAGAGGTTGTAGCATGTAGTCTGTCTGCCAGCTTAGAAGTGTACCAATCGAAAAATCTCTCAAAGTTTCAAACAGCAAAAATTAGCCGCGGCCCGGACTCGAACCCGGGTCGTGCGCCTAGTAAATGTTCTATAGTTTTTAGTCTGGAAGTAAAATCAGCATTTTGTTGTCTTCCTGCCAGTTTACAGATTCCATCGATTTCTCGCGTGCTAGTAGCCGTGCTTTTTCCTCATTTCGCCCCCTTCCCTGCGATGCAACACAAAAATTGATAAGCCAAGAAGCGTCGCCCCTACTTGTCGTGATATTTTCAAATATTCCCCCTCGAAAGTGGGCCATTCCCGCCCCCAGGGCTACACAGATACGATGACTCATTTTTTTATTTTTTTATATAAATTTTAGACGTGCAAATCGATTTTAAAATTAATCTTTTTAAGTTTTGGAGTCACCCTGGTTCGAATCTTCCCGGGGCTCTAACTTTTTGCTTTTGGAAAATTTTATCGATTTTTATATGTATTTCTAAACTGGCAGCCAGACTACAGACTCCGCTCTAATGACCCATTTATATTTGTATTTTAAATTCCGTTATCGATTTTTAAAAGTTTTACTTTTTGGCGCCCGAAGCCTCGCTTTTTGCTTTTTAAATTTGGTCGGTTTTTTATGAAAATGTGTATACTGGCAGCCAGGCTACAAATTACAACCCTTAAACGGAGGCTACAGACTACAAAAGGCTACTAGGCAAACGCCCCGGGTTCGACCCCCGCCGGGCGCTAACTTTTTGCTTTTTGAATTTTCGTCTAGTTTTTCGATGAGATTCGCTTAACTGGCAGCCAGACTACAAAGTACCATCGCGGATTAAACGCCCCTGACCCCGAATGCGCGAATTTGGGGGCCATATTATTACATCCGCTTCTGGGGTGGGGGGGGGGGGTGAGGTATCTATGAGCCGACAGTCCGGCTGGCCGCAAGATGATCGATTGCCTATCTATTGGCGGGTGTTACAAATATTGCCCGGGGGGCATTTCGGAGAGCGATAGAACACTTTAGAGCGAGATAGAAAACGAGAGAAGCCGAATATTTTGATCCCAGATATTCGAATCGGCCTAATTTTTCGTAGTTTGTAGCTAGGGCTCTAATTCTTTTGAGAATAGCTTAACTGGCGGGCAGATTACAAAATACAAAGTTCAAATTAACCGGGGCAAGCTAGCAGTGGTCATTTGGGACGAGATTTCGGGTAGATAGGTTAGAGGCGGCGTCACTTTTTGTAGTTTAGAGTTAGAGTTCTAAAATTTTGCAGAGTAGCTTAACTGGTAGGCAGGTTATAAACACAGCGTCGCAAATACGGCTGCAGACTACAGAAAAGCTATTAGGCGAACAACCCGGGTTCGACTCCCGCCCGGTGCCAACTTTTTGCTTTTTGGAATTTTAATGGATTTTTCGGTTTAAAATCGTAACTGGCAGCCAGTTCGTCGTTTCCGCAAATGATCTCTGCTCGTAGTCGGGTTTCTGTCATGTCAAGTCATGTTTTTAGTGATTTTTTGAGGAGAGAGAGTGAGAGAGAGAGAGAGAGCGTGACAATTAGAGAAATGCCCTAGGGCCCATCCTCTCTCTCGGGGTTGATGGATGGGTAATGGCCCAAGAGAGGATCCAACCAGCTGTAACACACATTATCAACCCCTCCTTGGCCCCCTGGGTGATACCTGCCCTCCGGCTATTTCCCCCCAATTCCTGGCTAATTCTCTTTTCTGACACCCATTTCATTTTCTAAAAATCCTAAATGGACTACAACGAGCTGAAAGACGTACTTGCGAAGTAAGAAAAAAATTTGCAAATTTTTCGATTTTTTAAAAACTCAATCCACGAAATTTCGAATTTTTCTTGCTGGAATTGGTTGTAGTTTGTAGCCTGTCGTCCAGAATATCCATTTCAAAAAAGTTTTTAATTCCTAAATAATCCCTGCTAGCTGGTCGCCTTAAAAATCAAAAAACCTTCTTTTTGCCCCTTTACCTCCAAATTCAAATTCCTTAGGCAGGCTATCAGAGATTCTTCAGGAACTGTGGCATTTGTAAACGGCTTTTTTAATGTTTTTAATGCAGAAAGCTAGCAGAGGCAATTTGTGGAATTGAGCGCGCGCGAAAAAAACAAAAAGCGAAAATTTGTAGAAAAAATGTTTTATGAAAATGAATGGTTGCAGGCGAATTCCGGACGCTTATTACAGGCCGAAATAGATTTCCCGAAAAATCCATGAATTTTGGCCTAAAACCTAAAAGTCTCACAAAAAAAATGTTTCAAAAAAATTGCTCGTTAGATTAGAAGCTGCGAGAACCATTAGTTGCAGGTTATAACCATTAGCTTCAGAATTTCCAATCGATAAAATTTCATGAAAATTAAATAAAACTTAGGTTTTTAAGAGAATTAAATTATTTAATAAAATAAAAATAGCAATGTAAAATTTGGATGCTCGTGCTTCCCTGGCTGAAAGCAGACTAGCAACGGTTCTTTGAGGACTTTGCGAGGTAGACTAGCAGAGACACACTTGGAATCGATAAACTGACACCTGGGCAGCTAGCAGAGACCATTTTCGGAATTCTGGGCAGGCTAGGAGGGATTCTTTGTGGAAGTTGGGTGAGTATGGTGCAGGCGGGCTAGCAGCGATTATTTGAGGACTTTTCGAGGCAGGCTAGCAGGGAAAATCTAGGAATAGCTAAACTGACTGCCAGGGAGCAAGCGGAGACCATGTGCGGATTTCGAGGCAGGCTAGCTGAGATTCTTTGAGGAATGGAGCGGGGCAGGCTAGCAGAGGTTCTTAGGGAAAATTGAGAGGGCAAACTAGCAGAAACCCGATGGGTTCGGTCCATATGGTTCAAGAGAAAGGGCATACTGTACGTGTTTTTCGCGCGTTGCGTGCGGGTGCGCGGAATAGCAACTGGTTTTTAGCTGCGCGGGCCTGCTTTCGCAATTGCGCAATTGCGTTGCGGCCTTCCCTCCTTTCCAAAGCTACCGCACGTTTTATTAGGAGCCGGGCCGCTGTGGGCAAAAGCAAAACCGAAAAAAATTTTTAACTTAATTTTTAAAAAACCAAAAATTATAAAATAAAAAAATCTTTCAACAAAATTGATAGCTGGGCGCGCGATTAATGCCGTAATTTGTTCTCTGTATTGCCGTCTTTCAAAAATTACACGAAGTCTTCATTTTTATGGTATAAAAATCTTCATTTTTTATGATATAAAAATGAAATCGACGATAGAAATTTCATTTGGAGAATAAATAAATTGATTGATACAATAACAATGTCGAATTAAATGTCGAAAAACGAATAACTTTTGGAATCGCTAAGCTGACTGCCAGGGAGCTAGCAGAGACCATTTTCGGATTTCGAGGCAGGCTAGCAGAGGTCGTTAGGGAAATTTGAGAGGGCAAACTAGCAGCGACCCTTTGCGGACAGCTATTTCGGGAGCCGTTCTCCTTTCTTTTTTGGGGAGGGGCTAGGTGATGATTGGGCGTGGTGATTCAGCTATTGAAATGTTGCCAGCCCCTCCTCTTCTTGTTGGTAGCAGATCGCCGCGCCCTCAAAACGCCCCCCGTCTACCCCAAGTAGTACTACTTTTATACCTCCTTTTCTCCAAAGCTACAGTATCCAGCATTTAATTGATGGTTGTAGTTTGTAGTCTGGCGGCCAGTTTAGCTATTCCCGAAAGAATTAGAGCTCTGGCTACAAACTAGAAAAAGTTTGGCCGGATCGAGAAATCATGAAAACCAATTTTTTAAAGTTTTAATGTTTTTTTACAAACCCGTATCCAGCCTTTTGAATGACGATCGTAGTTTGTAGTCTGGCTGCCAGTTAAGCGGTTACCCAAAGAATTAGAGTCCTAGCTACAAACTCCAAAAATTAGCCTCATTCGAACACCTGGCTGACATCCAATTTTTCCGCTTTTCCGGTAGATTCCTGTTGACATTTGGGGGTACTGTAGATGATTGTTATGATCTATTCGAAAGAGGAGAATCAGTTCTATCACATTCCAACACTATCCTCTACCATATCCCCATATCTAACCATTTAAAGGGGGGCAGAACACCCGGAAAAATCAGATGTTTCACTTTTTGCAAGGAGAATTTAGTGGCGTGTGAAAGTAATGCGGATATATTCCTGAGTCTTTTGGCTAACCTGGATATCAGTTTATAGATTCTCATGAAGAAATGTGTATAATTTTTAAAAAGCAAAAAGTTAGCCGCGGCCTGGATTCGAACCCGGGTCGCTCGCTTGGTAGTTTTATGTAGTCTGTAGCCCGAAGGTTAGCGTTGTAGTCTGTAGGCTGGATGTCAGTTTATCCATTACGGTATAGATTAACGCTCTAAGTAATTGCAAACATTTTCCACGGAGTTTTGAAGTTATCGATTTTTCAGGCTAAACCGCACGGTGCAGATGGCCCAGCAGAGGGATCGACTGTCGCTCGATGAGGTCGGATTTTCTTAATAAAATTAACTTAATCAATCCAGGTTTTAGGAAACCTGGCGAAATTCTTAATTTTTAAACGAAAAACTGGAAAAAACGATTTTTCAAAATTTTTTCTGAAAATTCAATGTTACATTTTTGAACCTTAAATAGGAAAAATGAGATCCGGTAGTAAAAATGGCACTTTAAGGATAAAAATAAAAAATAAATGGGAAAATTAATTAAGCACAGGTAGAAACGTAGCTAAATATTGAATTCTAGGATCATACAAATGAGGAAAATTTCGCAAAAATGGTTCGGAATAAAATGTCACAATCTATATTCAAGAATAACGTAAAATGAAATTCGGTAATCAAATCGTTACCAAATATCTATATCACAATAGCCGCAAAAAAGGAATGTTTTTTAGCATATTTTTGGAAATAAAATGTTACATTTTTAACTAAAAAGTAAGGAAAATTAAATCCGGTAATGAACGATGTAAAGGTAAATATTATTGAAAACAATCAAGTGCAATAAGGAACGTAGCTTAATATTAACTTTATTAATGTTTCATTTTCCCTAAAAATAAGAAAATTTGCGCGTGTGCTAGTTCCGTTTTTTGTGGTGCGAGAAATGCGACTTCGACTTCAATCAGAATTATTTATTAATTGATAACGGATTATTTTAGATTTAGATTAGAAACAAATAAGCACGATCAAAATATGTGGTTTTAACTTTTTGTTCCAAAATAAAATGTTTCATTGCAAATTAAAAATACGAAAAATCAGGTCAGAATTAATGGTTGGGCGCTAGCCACGGGATAAATAGATTTCAATTGAAAGAAATTAAAAAATAATTTAGCGATAATCTAGAAACACTATTAAATTCAAAATTAAATCAAATAAGCAAATAAAATAAGAAAATTTCAGTATAAATTGGCTATTAAGTTGGCTAATCGATGTTAGGCTTTATTCTCCAGAAAAATAGAATGTTGCATTTTCAATTAAAAAGCACGAAAATCAGGTCAGGATTAATACTGCGCGGAACTGTATGATAAATCCAATTTTTATGAAATTGAAATAAAAGTAATTAATCGCGATGAAATTAAATCCAGTTTTAATTGAATTGTTTTATTGTTTTTACCTATTTTTTTAGACGCTAATCTCGATCAACCAGACGCTGCAGACGATTGGCGGGCTACTCGAGACTGTTCAGGTATTTTCATTTTAATCTTAATTAGCTTGATTAATTTCAAAGAATTTTATTAATTTTCCTAATAATTTTTATGCGTTATACGTTAAATAATCATAATTTATTTAATTTAGGTTATAAGCCAATAAAAATAAAAATGTTCTGATTTTTTCGTTTACGTTATCGGGAAAAATTGCCATTTTTTAAAAATGGAAAAAGATGAAACGTTTTTAAAGAAATGAAGTTCTCGAAATGAAAATCAATTTGGCCTTTTTTAACGGTTTTTTAAAGTTTATGGATTCATTGAGTTTTATTTAAACTCAAACTCCGGATTTTCAATCTTTTCCCGTTTTTCATATTAAAGTTTATACTTTAAATCTCGTAATTGCTTTTCGTCTCTAAATTTTTGGTAGTTTAATTCTTGTTTAAAATATCCTTTAAATTAAAATTGAGCATTAAACTATGCCTTATCAAGTTGTTTTAATATTTTACGTTGAAACGAAAAAGATTCCTGATGGGGGCATTATGAAAGATTGCCGGTTTTTGAGAATGGAAAAATTTGAAACATTCAAAAACAAATTTCCTAGACAAAATCGATTATTTTTTCTAACGGGCCTTTTCGAAATTCACACAATTTAGGATTCCGAATTTAAATTAAGTTTACAAACTCGAAGTTAAATTCTTAAAATCGTCAATTAAAAAATTTCATTTTTAGAAAAAGTTTTGCGATTTTTAATTTGGTGTTTTTAAATTGTTTTTGGTGGTTTAGTTCTAATTTAAAGCACCGTTTAATTAGATTCTATTTTTTTTACGCGTTTCTTCGTGTCATAAGCGTTAAACTATACATGTTTAAACCCGCTAGAAAATTTTGGCGCGGAAAATAATCCTACCTTATATAATTTTGGGGTGTATCTCTGTGTGTGTGTGTGTCCGGCGCTAGGGAGGGCTACTTTGCATAATTCCAAAAAATACAAATTTCCTCATTCTTGCAAGTTGCACGCGCGGGTGTGGTCGGAGGAGGGCAGGGGTCCGAAGGACCTAAGCTATCGGAAAGCCAAATTTCTCATGCAAAGGCCGCATTCCAGCGCCCAGGGCCCGCGAAGCGGGTTTTGGGCGCTGGTTGTAGGCATAAAATTGCAGGAATTGTGAAAAATTGCCAATTTTTGAAAATGGACAAAGTTGAAACATTAAAATAAATTTTCCAAAAAAGGCTTTAATTTAAAATGACGCTTCATTCGGTTAAAATTTGCAGGTAGCCGTGCTGATCGTAGCGATCGCCCTCTCATTTCTCCTCATCGGCATGACGGCCACCTGCTACTATGCAAAGTACAAGAAATATAGCCGGGTGAGTCGGCAAAGTTTTGTATTTTGTAGTCTAGCTGTCAGTTTAGCGATTCCAAACAAAAAATTAGTTCGGTTTTCAAAAAGCAAAAAGTTCGCCCCGGGCCGGGGTTCGAACCAGGGTCGTTCGCCTGTCAGCGATTCTGTAGTCTGTAGCATTAAAGTCATAGTTGTAGTTTGTAGGCTGGCAGCTAGTTGAGTGATTCCAAACAAAAAATTGGTTTGGTTTTCAAAAAGCAAAAACTTATGCTGCGGGCGGGGGCCGAACCAGGGTCGTTGGCCTGGTTGCAATTCTGTTGTTGTAGCCTGTAAATCATAGTTGTAGTTTGTAGGCTGGACGTCAGTTTAGTTACTCTCAAATCAATTAGGGCCCCAGCTACAAACGACAAAAAGATAGACCAAGTAGAAAATCTGGCAAAATCTCAAATTTTGCGATTTTCCGCCAGATTCCTGTAGACATTTGGGGGTACTGTAGATGATTGTTATGATCTATGCGAAAGAGGAGAATCAGTTCTATCACATCCCAATACTATCATCTACCGTATCCCTATCTATAGCCACTTAAAGGGGGCAGAACACCCCGGAAATCGCGATTTGGCACTTTTCCGAAAGAGTCCTATTAACGTTTTGGGGTAGTTTACCTACTTTTTAGAAGTTGTATTTTGTGGTCTGACGGCCAGTTTAGCGATTCCGAGCTTCAAACAAGTTTTTTATCAGGTATCAACCGACGAGGAGCGGCGAGCGTACCGAGCAGCGGTCAGTTTTTTGGAGTAGCAAAATTCGTATAATTAAATATTATTAAATGATGCGTCGAATCATTTTAATAAATTCTATGTAAATTAAATTTACCTTTTTTTTGTTTTCGAAAATATTTTTTAATATTTTTTGAAAAATAATTGGCCGCAGCAAGGCGCCGCTTTATTTTTATAGATAAAAAATTATTTTTATTTACGCTGTATTGTAGGAGATGCATGATGAATTTTAGGATTTTTGTGAGGAACATGTTTCAAAAATTTTTATTGTTTCAAATACGTCCATCAAATAATTTGTTTTACGACGTCTAATGGCGAATTTTCTGATTTGAACGGTATATTCTTTAATGGATTCCCCTGTTAGATTTAATTCAAAAATTAAGGGGAACGCATGAATATTCGATGGAACGGAGCTTTTTTGAGTTTTTAAAGGACCCTGATTTTTCAAGGTATGGCTTTTTGCTAATTTTTGTTTTCGAATTTTGCAAATTTTGACAGCCGGAAGAAGGTCATTGAATAACTATTCTCCGGACGGCATATTCTGTTCCTTAGATGAAACATTATTTTTTTACGGAAAATATCGAGTTAAATTTAGTTAAACCCGGTTTTGAGCTATTAGAGGGTAGGTTTTCTCATTAAAAAACTAACGGGGAAAAGGGATTTGATTTCTATGTTTTCGACAATGAATCCTCGGATTTAGGATTTTCAGAAAAAAAATGTTGCAAACAATCAGATTCTTCCGGCTGGATTTCCCTGAATAGTCCATCAAGAAGATCTAATAAAAACTAGCTAAAGCCTCGATTTGTTAAAAACCCTATTTTTCAGGGCCTTGATCGGTTTTTCGAAATGTAATTCGAATTTTAATCAGCAGCGACGACTGCATCATTAGCTAATCTCAAGATGGCACCTACCGTTCCGGATGAAAAATTACTACTTTTTGCATGTTTATAGGAACCTTATTTTTTTGTTATATTTGAGGGTTTTTCTAAGTTTCAGTTTTTTTTTCTTTCCATCTATTAATTGGAAACTAGCCAGACCCCAGATGCTATTTACTCTATGAAACATTATTTTTGAATTTTTTTATGTTTTTCAAACCATTTTCACCGTTTATCAACGTTTATGAACGTTTGTCGCGATTTTTGGGTTCAGCTTAAATTTAAGTTCTAAGCGCTACACCAAAATCACTAATTGGCACGCCGAGCAGATAATCTGTGCATTGGATGAAACATTAATTTTTTTTGCAAAAACTAGCTAGGGAAATTCATCTAAAGGGCACGTTCAGGGACGTTTTTTGGAAAAAAGCAAAGAGTTTGGCCGCGGCTGGGGGTCGAACCCGGGACTCCCGCTCGGGAGACGCGGATGGATACCAGTCAGCCACAGCTACAACCTAGCGAGGGGATGAGGGGCACCCCACCCCGGAAAGGAGGAGAAGAGGAAAGGTTTAATGTTTAATGTTCACCAGAATTTATCCATCCCAACCGTCTTTCCTACAATAATTCTTATCGCCAATTCTCACGCCTACAATTCCAGCTGAAACCCTTATTTTTAAAATCTGATTTTCAAAAGGTTTTTATGTTTCCTTTTTTTTCGTTATTTTTGTCTTCAGCTTTCAAGCAAAATTTAGGAGGTCGAATAGAACGCAGAATTAACAAATTCCCAGACGACTTTTCCCCTTTTATTGGATGAAACATTATTTTTGTAATTTTTAAAAAGGACCTGGTTTTTCAAGGTACTTTATCGGTATTTTTGCATTCAGCTTTAATACAAAATTTAAACCAGTTTTAGGCCGGTAATATTTGGCTTGTCTTTAAAAAAATAAGAACTTCTTAAAATGTCAGCACCCGAACGAATGGAATAATTGGCAGAAAGCCAGTGCTGACAATAATTTTATTAGATGAAGCATTCTTTTTTTGAATTTCTAGTTTTTGAAACGTTTTCACTTTTCCAATTTTTCCTGGTGTTTTTTGGCTAAAAAGAAAATTGAAATTTTGGTGATATTTTCAAAAAAAGGCAAAGAATTACGAAAAACTGAGAAATTGGGACAGCCCCGGCCCGCAGATTCACTTTATTTCATGAAACGTCATTTTTGCAATTTTTGGCCGATTTTAGGGAATTAAATTTATTTCAGTTTCTGATTTTGGGACTTCGCGCTCCAGGAGAAGCAGCTGATTTTTATATTTGCGAAAAATGCCCGAGTTCATGGTTTTTAGCAAAAATACGTTTAAAATTTTTTACTTTTCGGGCTGGGTTTTTTTCTAATAATACTCAGTGACTAGTATTGACGATAAATTTGGCTGAAACGGACCATTTTCCGCGAACACTAATTTTCAAGAACGTTTCATTTATTTTTCTGCTTTGTGTCGGTATTTTTTGGCTAGAAAAACAATTTAAATTTTTTTATATCGTAAAACCGAAATTATTATTATTCACCGTGGACAGGCGGAATGGCAACCGCAGATTCCCTTTTTTTATGAAACACCCTGTTTTGGGTAAAACCTGTCACGCTGAAATTTAATTGGATTGTCAGGGATGTGGCACGCCATTTATATGTTCGAAAAATTAGAAAAATTCAGAATTTTTCGAAAATCCGGAAAAATCCGTTTGTCAAAATTTTGAAGAACTTAATCCTGAGAATTCCCTTTGTCAGGGTATTTCTGAGAGTAGTTTGTAGCCTGTCGTCCAGAATCTCGATTTTCAAGATAAATTTTGATTTCCTAAAGAATCCCTGCTAGCTGGCCGCCTTGGAAAACTCGGAAAATCGCTCTTTTTATGGGGAGGCTGGTAGAGATTTTTGAGGAAGTTGGAGGGGCAAACTCGCGGACAAGCTTTGGGAACTTGCAAACTGACAACCGGGGAGCTAGCAGAGGCCATTTGCGGACCTCGGGGCAGGCTAGCAGGGATTATTTAGGCGACTTAGGATCGTCTTATCCGTAGGTTGGCAGGGATTTTTTGCGGAATTCGAGAGGCAAACCAGCCGAGAAAATTCGGGAACTTGCAAACTGACAACCGGGGAGCTAGCAGAGACCATTTGCGGACCTCGGGGCAGGCTAGCAGAGATTTTTTGGGCTAATTTCCGATTTTCAGCCCCCCACCGACGAGGATCGATTTTCGTATCGTAAAGGCGAATACCATCCGACGGATATTTAATTGATTTTGGAAATTCTATAATAACTCTATTTAATTAATGCAATTGGTTTGATTTGGGTATTTTTTGGATTTAAAAAAATCATTATTGTATTTTTTTCGTATTTTTTTTTTTGGCGATTACCGTGCTGTGATACATTCTTTGTGCCTATCATCTTGTTTGTCGAATAAATCGAAATGATTACAAGATTAAAAATTAAACTGGCATCCAGACTACAAAATACAACTTTTAGTGTGAGGCTACAGACTACAGAAGAGTTATCAGGCCTATGGCTGGGGTTCGAATCCCGCCCAGAGCCGACTTTTTGCTTTTTGAATTTTTTAAGGAGTTTTCTGCTGGAATTGCTGAACTGGCACCCAGACTACAAACTATAAACTTGGGAGGTACACATGGGATAACGGGGGGGGGGGGGGGGGCACTCATTATTATGAAATTTGCAATTAATGAGGGATTTTGCGAGTGCCATTCGATAGAGCGTCGAAAAATATACTAAGAGAATCAAAATCATGTAATGGAAATTTTTTATTGAATAAACAAAAATTGAGGAAAATCTATGGGCAGCACATAGGATAACGGGGGGCGGGGGATTTTTGGCGTTTTGAATATTTTCGATATTTTGAAAATGCCATTCGATAGAGGACCGAAAAATATACCAAGAGTTTTTTTACAGCCCGAAAAAAGCATATTTAAAAATACTTTTATCATATGAAAAGTTTGAGTGCCCCCCGTTATTCCCCCCCTTCCCCCGTTATCCTATGTGTACCACCTGGGATACTCTCCACAATACCCTGACGCGTTACTAGGTGTTCCTTCGACAAAAGTGAAACATCTGATTTTTGCGGGTGCCCTTTTCCCTTTAATTGGGTAGATCTAGGGATAGGGTAGATGATAGTGTTGGGATGTGATAGAACTGATTCTCCTCTTTCGAATAGATCATAACAATCATCTACAGTACCCCCAAATGTCAACAGGAATCAAGCGGAAAATGGGAAAAATCGGATTTTGCGAGATTTTCGAAAGGGTCTAACTTTTTGTAGTTTGTAGCTAGAGCCCTAACTGCTTGGATAGTAGCTAAACTGGCATCCAGACTACAAACTGCAACTTTGACTCTGCGACTACAGACTACATACAAAGCTAACAGGCCCGCACCCGGGTTCGATTTCGGCCGAGGTCTAAGCTTTTGTTTTTTTTGGAAGAGTTTTTAGATTTTTCTGTTGGAATGGCTAAGCTGGCATCCTGACCACAAAATACAAATGTCATTTGGAGTATACTGTACTTGAAAAGGTGAATTTTATTAGGGTATCCGCTTTATCGAGTGCATCTCCCACACATTTTGTATGTGGTCCATCGCGTTTTTTGGGTCCCTGAAAATTCATATTTAGTGGAATTAAACTAATTAATAATTAGGTAATCGGACGAATTGAAAATGAATTTTAATGATTTCCAAAATAGTGAAATTTTGAAAAAATGTTTCAGTTTCAAGTAAAAATATTGAATTTGTGATAGCTATAATCTCGAGTTTCGCCGCCACCAATTTTTAAAAAAAATAAATAAGAAATGAATTATAATAATTTTATAATACATTTAATAGTTACTACATCTAGATTTAAATATCAAAAAATTAAAAAATAATTTTGTTACTCACATTTTCTCCGCAGCTACGATACTGGCGGCAGTGGGGTGATTTTGAAGAAAATACGGCCGAAGCTCCTCGTTTCGCCACAGGCAAATTATAGGAAACGAGAGGTACTGTAGCGGGAAGATCAGCGCTGAATACGTCTCTAAAACATGTAAATCAGTAAACTGACATCCAGACTACAACGTACAACTTTTTTTCTGAGGCTACAAACTACAAAAAACTACCAGGCGAACGACACGGGTTCGATCCCCCGCCGGAGCCCAACTTTTTGCTTTTTGAATTTTGTAAAGGTTTTGCTTTTGGTGTTGCTAAACTGGCTGCCAGACTACAAAATACAACTTTTCTGCTGAGGCTACAAACTACAAAAAAGCTTTTAGGCGCATGACCCGAGTTCGAACCCTGCCGGCCGCTATTTTTTTGCTTTATGAGAATTTGGCAGATTTTTTGCTTGTAATGTCTGAACTGGCAGGCAGACTACAAGCTACCACTATTATTTTGTGGCTACAGGCTACAAAAGCCTGCCAGGCGGACGGCCCGGGTTCGAATCCTGCTCACGGCAAACTTTTCAATTTTTGAAATTCAAGCTTATTTCCGATTGGAATGAGTATAGTGACAGGCAGACTACAAACTACAACTTTCCTGGGAGGCTACAGACTACAAAAATTCCAAAATCACCTTAAAAAGTGCATAGTCGTGCAGGGAGTTGATGGGCACGAATATCATCAGAACCGTCGTGATTTGCATAAAAACCGAAATCGCACAGCACAGCGCGACGTTTGGCAACAGGAAACGAAGGGATTTCAGGCTGAAAAATCGAACTAAAAATTCCTTAATAGATTTTTTTAATTTGTAAAAATGTTTTCAAAAGTTTTAAAATCTCCAAACGGAAGCTTATTCCTATTAATTATCTAATTTATCTATAATATTAAAGGTTCCAATTTTTCTATAATTTCTATTTGATTAGTAAGTTTTTAGGGGCAATTAATGGCTTAATCTTGTTAAAACCAGACGTGTCGACGTGTGATGAGCCAAATGCCAACAACCGTTGCGGCTTTGGTTAGTAATTTTTTCGAAACATTTTTCTTAAAAATTTTTTTTGGTTTTTTTTTGCCTGCACTAGCTTATCATCTCGTAAGCGGTCGGCCATTTTCCAAAAAGATAGATTTTTACTCCGCGAAGAATTTTAAAAGTGGCGCAAAATTTATTGCGACTTTCTCATTGCCGCCTTGGAGGCAAAGCCAACCACTAATTTTGTTGAAACATTTTCTCAGAAAATTTTCTGTTCGTGGCTTTTATCTCAGGTTTGATTATGATCGCGTAATCGGTTGGCGACATGCGAAAAATATAGCTTTTTAAGCCTTTTAAAGGGGCTCCGAACTGCCAAATCAAAGCTCTTTTGGGAGGGCTCTTTGATTTCTGGCAAATTGCCAGCGGGTGCTGCGGGACCAGATCCCTCACCTTTCGATTTTTGCGCGCAGTTGTTTTTGCCCGGTTTCTTTGTGAAAACACTCAAATTCGCGCATTCTGAGCCCATTTTTGAAATCCTCACTCAATTTGAAATAGTTTTGGTGTTTTAATCATCAAATTTGGCCCAGAAACAGCCGAGAACGTGATTTCGAGGTGACAACGGGGAATTTCAAATTTGCGAGCTTCCGGCGCCCCTAGGTGTACAGAGGCCTCCCACGTACAGGGCTCCCATTTTCGGGCCGTCACTCCGTTTTGGCATTTCGTAGCCCCTTTAAGCTTTCCAAAATTTATTGCGTTTAATTTGTTACTTCTTCTCTCTTGGAATTGCCACTCGGGTGCCAGGCCCAGTTATTGACTTTTCTTGAAATATTTATTCTGAAAAATGGTCGGTTTCTGTTTTTTTTCATGCAAGTCCATTGGATCGCATAATCGGTTGGCTATATGCCAAAGTGTGGCTATATGCCAGTTTTCATCTATCCAGGAAGAACAAAAACCCTAATTGATTTAAAAATTTTTTAATTTCGAACTATTTCTGAAGTCAATGCCTAGACAAATTGCGCGTCTGACTAGTAATTTCTGTAAAACATTTTCACGAAAATTTTTTTGGCCATTTGCTTTTATTTCGGCGCCTCTTTTCTCATTTCGTAATTTGGCCACTTGCCAAAATGCCGATTTTCATCTGCGAATTCAGGATCATAATTCTAAAAGCACTTCAAAATTGATTGCGCCGCGCCCTAGTGACTATTACCACCCTCATTGAGCCTCCGGCTAGTGATTGTTTTGAAACCTTTTTTCCGAAAATTTTTGGCACTTTGCTTTTTCGTGGAAGCGTTCTAATGATCGCGTAATCGGCTGGTAATTTTACAAAACGTCGATTTTCATCTGCGAACGGCAGAATCAACCGAAAAATTAGTAGTGTATGTAAAACCCCGGAAGAAATTACCCCCTTGTCGTGTGTCTAACCTGTTATTTTGCTGAAACATTGTTTTATAAGAATTTTTTTTTGCTTTTTGCCTGCACTAGCATATCATCGCGTACTCGCCGATTATGGCCTTGATTCTGCAGTCATTTAGCTGAAACATTTTTTCAGAAAAAATCTCTGCTTTTGGCTTCTATTGCAGACCCGCTCTGACTAGGGAAGTATCTGAACTTGCCATCGAATCTTGAGAAGTCAGATACACCATACGACGCGCCGTACCGCGAGGATTCCAAATATGTAATAAAATCAACGGGAGCGCATAACGGTAAAAAAGTTATGAGCATTTTAAGTTTTACATTGAAATCCGCCGCCGCGAGAAGAGCCCCTCTCAGCGTAGCCTGTCTATCGGTCTCGTGGCCTAGTGGTGTGCGCATGGGTCTCTGGATTGTATGACCAGGGTTCGGCTCCCCTCACGATTTTTATTTTTTTTGCTTTTTGACCAGTTCCTACTTTTTGCATGTCCAAACTCGGGAATAAGTTTTTCTTGACTGTGTGGCCCCTAAAAAGCACCAGCGATGATAAAATAACCTCCGGCAACAAAACCAGGATTGGACGCTTTCTATATCAAAGTTGGCAAAATCATCGGAAACCGCCCTTTTAAGGCTCTGTGCGAATTCGAAGAATTTAATTTTTCAAAAACGGAACAATACATCTTGATCAGCAGAAAATTCCCTTTCGAATGAGCTAACTTACCTGCGCTTTACGCTAAATTCTCGAAAAGTCTTCGGCTAGCTGGCCATACCCTACCCTTACACTGCATTCCAAAAATATTTTTTGCGGAAATTTTTGGCAGCCGTATGTAATATAGCTCATTTGAAAGAGCTTTCTTTGTTGAACAAGGAGCACTAATCAGTTTAGACTAAATTCCATTCCGCGGGATAATACAGGGTCTCAAAGTTGCTGTTTTTCGTCATTTTGCCGACTTTGAACCCTCATAACTTTTTTTACCGTTATGTGCTCCCGTTGATTTTATTACATATTTGGAATCCTCGCGTCACGGCGCGTCGAATGGTGTATCTGACTTCTCAAGATTCGATGGCAAGTTCAGATACTTCCCTAGTGAGTGGATTTTAGTTTGTTTCTGTCCAGTTTTACGCGGCTTTTTTCGTGTTTTAAAGGGCCATTGAAGGCAAAATGTGCCGTACCTCGACCGCAGCTCGTAGCGTGACGAGAGAACGGGTGTTGAAAGGAGGCTGAGCCTAAAAAATTATAAACATTGAATTGCTATTTTTTTAAAAAGGTTAATTAGAATTTTTGAAAAGAAATGTTTGGTAAATTTTTAACCTGCAAAATAACTCAATCATTACAAAATTTTAAAAACGTAGTTTTTGAAACATCACAAATTCTACCAAAATTTCAGTCTGGTTTTTTCTGATTTTTTCCTTGAATTTTTACAGTTTTCCGTCACACTCCCTTTAAAATCACCAACTTTGTCTTCCTGCGCAAGAGAACGTGCAAAACGAGGAGGGCGGAGGCGCTGAGAATGTTCACCGGCACTGTCCACTCCACGATTGTCCACATTGTGATCGCCCCTACCTGAAAAGCAGCGATAAATCGTCATAATCGCTAAACTGCCATCCAGGCTACATACTACACGTTTAATTTTGAGGCGATAGACTGCAGAAAATCGATCAGGCCAACGATCCCGGTTCGATCCCCGCCCGCAGCTAACCTTTTGCTTTTTGAAAATTGTTCAGGTTTTTCTTTAGGAATCGTTAAACTGACATATAGACTACAAATTACACCTATTAAAATGACCTACAGTACCCTAGACGTCAATAGGACCATTTCGGAAAAATTGCCAAAATCATGGTTTTCCGGGTGTTCTGCCCCCTTTAAATGGCTAGATATAGGGAGAGGGTAGATGATAGTGTTGGGATGTGATAGAACTGATTCTCCTCTTTCGAATAGATCATAACAATCATCTACAGTACCCCCAAATGTCAACAGGAATCACGCGGAAAATCGGGAAACTGGGTTTTTGCGAAATTTTTAAGGTGGTCCAACTTTTTGTAGGTCGTAGCTAGATATCTAATTTTTTGGGAGCTGCTAAACTGACATTCAGACTACAAAATACAACAATAAAAACCGACCGTAGTCGATGCGCAGTACGGTAGTAGCTGGCCAGAGTCTCCTCGGAAAAAGCCGCGCCACGCCCCGGAAACGGCTTCCGGAAGGCCGTACCACTGTAAAAATAGGATTTTCTGGGATTTCATGAACTTTTAATTAATTTAAATTTTCAGCTGGGATTAAAAATGTTTCAAGAATTTTTAAAAACCACCAAAAATTTGATTCTTTAATTCAGTGCTCTTTTGCTGTCCTTTTTAAACAAGTTTTATCCTTCGAGATATTTTTATTTTATAATTTAAATCAGTTGAAAATAAAACGAATTTTCGGTAACTACAACCAACAACTTCAAATGTTTCAAAAGTCAAGAAAACCCACAAAAATTTGGTTCTTTAATTGCTGTAGATAATCCAATCACTAAAATTCCAAAAATTATATTACTTTTAATGGCTTCTTGATACTAGTAATTTGATTCAATATTTAAAAAATTAAAAATAGGAAATTAGCACGTAAATTAAAAATCTAAAAATTTTTGAAATCAAAAAATTTGATTTTTTCGAAATAGAAGTTTCTATTGTTTATTTTTTTGTTATTTGAGTATTGTTAGTTTCCTTCAATTGTTTGAAAATATATTTTTAGAATTAGAAGTTACCGTTAACGCGACGACAATCAGGACGATCGGAATTCGGCGTTGCGTCTCGTAGCTTTTCGCGTAGAACAACGCAATGCTCCGTTCGGCCGTTATTAGAATATAGGAGAAGGAAACCACCTGGAATATTTTTAAATCGTTAACCTGTCAGCCAGACTACAAACTAGAACTTTTTTTTGTGACTACATACTACAGAAAAATTAATAGGCGAACGACCCGGGTTCGACTCCCGGCCGCGGCAAACTTTTTGCTTTTTGAAAATTTAGCCGAGTTTTAAATTACCAGGGCTAAAATGGAAGACAGACTTCAAACTACAACTCCTGTTTGGAGGATACAGACTATAGAAAAAGTACTAGGCAAACGTCCCGGGTTCGAATCCCGTCCGCGCCCAACTTTTTGCTTTTTGAGAATTTAATGGATTTTTCGATTGGAATTGTCAAACTGGAATTCAGACTACAAACTACAACAATACCTTTACAGCTGGCAGCGTAATCGAGCTAATCGCCATACAAAACGAGTACTCCTCCATGAAGTCGCAGGGCGTCTGGAAGTAAAATCCGAAATGATCTCTGCTAGTTGCCCCTCATACCGTACTCCTCGCCAGTACGGCCAACCGTAAAGAGGCGCGTAGAGTAGTGAAGGCCGTGCGGAATAGCATCCCAACAACGACGTTGAGGAGCAGGATTTGTAGATGGATGTGAAGGTGCTAAATTGGGTCAAATAGCGAAGTCAAATAGAAGAGTCAAAAGGTGTATTTTGTAGTTTGGATGCCAGTTTCGACATTCCAACCCACGAATCAGTTAAAATTTCAAAAAGCAAAAAGTTAGCCGCGGTCGGGAACCGAACCCGGGTCGTGCACCTAGTAGCTTTTGCAGCCTGTAACCTCCAAATAAAAGTTGCAGTCTGTAGCCTGGATTCCACTTTAGCTATTCCAAACACAAAATATACGAAGTTTTCAAAAAGCAAAAAGTCAGCCGCGGCCGGGAATCGAACCCCGGTCGTTCGCCTGGCACCCTTTTTTGTAGTTTGTAGCCCCAAAATAACGTTTGTACGCTGTAGTCTAGCTGTCATTTTCGTCAACTAACCGGATTTGCAAGCATTTTGCCCATCACATAGATACAGGAGAGGATTATTGTGACGTTGATGCAGACGAGGTAGATGAATATCGGGGCCACTGTCTGAAAATTGTAGTCTGTAGTCTGGAAGTCAAGGTTGTAGCTTGTAGTCTGGCTGCCAGTTTGGCAACTCCCCTCCAGAAATCAGGAATTTTCGAAAACGAAATTAGGGTGAAAATTAAAAGTTTCAAGAAAATAGCATCTTTCGCATTTTTCTGGAAGTGTATTGTAGTAGGCGCTTTTTTTTCCTCTGTATTTAAAACAAGAATTCCGCTTTAGCAATTCCTTTCCTAAAATTTGGTATTTTCGGAATTCGGTTAAAATGAAAGGTTTCAAGAAAATATAAATTTTCGTAATTTTCTGAAAGCATAGTACATGCCACTACTTTTGACGCTACTTTTTCGCAACTGTATTTTGTAGCCGGGATCGCGGTTCAGCGCTGCGAATCCAACAAAAGGGAATTTTTCAGAAATTAAAAGTTTCAAAATACAATTTTTCACAATTTTGTCAAAGAGTTTCGGCTTAGAGTTTCCGCTTTCTGTAGCTACTTTTCGCGACGGTTTTTTGCAGTCTGGCTGTTAGTTTAGTAACCCTGCTCCAAAAGTTTTTAATTTGTCAAAAAAAGGCAGAGTTTAGGAGTTTAAAAAACCGAGTTTTTCACTTTTTCCGAAAAGTTCCTGGTGACGTTTAGTGGTACTGTATCTGATTTTAGCAATTGAATTTTGTGGTCTATCGACCAGTTTAGCAACATCTCTCCAAAAATTTGGAATTTTTCGGATTAGCGATCCAAGCCAAAAAATGTAATTTTTTGGAAAAAAATAAAAATTGAAAGTTTCAAGAAAATATCATTTTTCGTGTTTTTCAGAAGGGGCACTGGTGTTATCTAGCGCGGCGATCTATGGTTTTTAACGCAACTATTTTGTAGTCTGGATACCAGTTTATCAATTCCCACCAAAATTTAGCTAAATTCCCACCTGGGTGACGCTCAACGCCAGGGAGCAGTTGTCCATTCACTGCAACACCTAAAATACTGCATCAATACTTTAATAAAATGAGAACGAGCAGAGATCATTATGAACGAGCCAAAGTGCATACTGCCCGCCATTTTCCAGGAAATTGGGGGTCTTGAAGTGAAACGTACATTTTTTTACGCCATTACGACAAGAAAAATCCATTTCCAAATTACAGCTTCCGGGGAGGGGAAAGTTGGCACTTTTGCCCCAGATGAGTTTTACATTGATTTTGTTTTGGTTGTAGTCTGTAGTCTGGTTGCCAGTTGAGCGATTCCAATCGAAAAACCAACCGAAAATGCAAAAAGCAAAAAGTTAGCGGCGGGCGGGGGTGGAACCCGGGTCTTGCGTCTGGTAGCCTTCTGTAGTTTATAGCCTCAAACTTAAACTTGTGGTCGGTAGTCTGGCTGCCATTTTAACTTTTCGCACACAACCTGGGGCTCTAGCTACAAACTATAAAAAGTTAACCAAATCCAAAAATTGGGAAATCTCATTTTTTCGCATTTTCCGCTAAATTCCTGTTGACATTTGGGGGTACTGTAGATGATTGTTATGGTCTATTCGAAAGAGGAGAATCAGTTCTATCACATCCCAAACCTATCATCTACCATATCCCTATATATAACCATTTCAAGGGGGGCAGAACATCCCGAAAATCGCGATTTCGAATTTTTCCGAAATGGTCCTATTGACGTTCCGAGTACCATAGCTACTTTTTTTAAATTGTATTATGTAGTCTGGGTGCCAGCTTAGCCATTACAGTCCAAAAAGACTCGTACTTTCGCCTATTTAAAAATTTCGATAGCTAAGGCGGAACACAAGTAAAAAAAAAACTAAAAATCATCGAAAAGCAGGCTAGCAGAAATTCTTTGAGACGGCAATGATCAAACTGGCTGGAGAGATGAACGTTGGACCCGAAAAGGCGGCTTTAGAATTGCTTAGATGCCCTTGGGGGGTATGAAAGGAAAGAATAGGGCCGGGGCGGCAGTGTGTGCCCCCGGAAATGGACGCGAATTCGGAAACTGGGTGGGCAAACGGAGGGTAAGCTAGATTTTGGACGCAGTGGCTTGTGATCTGGATGCCAGTTTATAGATCCATGGCGAAAAAATAAGAATTTTTTCAAAACGCAAAAAGTTATGCCGCGGCCGGGGGTCGAACCCGGGTCACTCGCCTAGGACCTTCTCTGTAGTATGTAGCCTCGAAATAAGAGTTGTCGTTTGTAGTCTGGCTGCCAGTTTAGGAATTCCCCACGAAAATGAACTAACATTTCAAAAACCAAAAAGTTTCGGCGGTAATTCCGGGCGGAACATGAAAATTTTCGAAACACATTATTTAAGCGATTTTCAATTTTCACCACGCTATTTACAGCTTCTCTTTTTTGAGAAAGATGTGTTTCAAATATTGATTAAATTTTAGAGAATTGAAAAATAATAATTTTTCCACCTTACCCACAAAAACCAGCAATTTTTTGGATTCCTGTAAATATGAATGATTGTAAATTACTTCATCCGGCCACTACATCATTCACAATTAATAACCGTTTAATCCGAGACTTTCCGTGTTTCTGTGATACGAATAAATGCACATGCGCATTCGAATTCGAAATCCGCGCGGCACCTGCCAAAGTTATGAAACAAATTTTTTGCGAGGGCGGCACGATCTCGATTCTACATCTTAGCCGTTTCAAGAATTTTTACCTTGACAAATTGATTAGTTTGATATTTATGAATTTTGTATATTAGCGCGCCTATTAATGCGCACATGTTTTACCGTAAAAAAAATAATTAAAACGTTAAAACGAGAAGTTTAGATAGTGCCAGTAATTAGGCAGAAAATTAACAGCGCACGACGTTCTATTGATTAACACTGACAATCCGGACCGAAAATGGAATATTCGCGAAACACTTTTTTTTTGGAAAAACCATTTTTCTTTTTCCAAATAGTTTCAGAATTTTTTAATCAATTACAACGCCGGATCAGGATTTGTGGATCTGGAAGCGGTAAGGCGTTTCTATGAAACACATTTTTCAAAAAACATTGCTCAAAATATAACTTGAAAAACAAAAAAGGAAAATTGAGCCATTTAGACTACCGATTCAGATGGGTCGTCAGGTGCTCAGAAAGGAACATTTTAGAAACATATTTTTGTAAATATTGGTTTTGAAAACACATACTGTATATCACTGTTCGAGAATCAAATCTATCAAATCAAGAAATCCTATCCTATAAGCGAGAAAAGTATGTTTGTTTTCTGTAATGACGAGTTCTCGGCCGTCAGGCCGAATTTCCGGTTGATTAATAATAATAAACGGTATATTAATGCGTCCGCGAATAACCAACGTATTCAATAATTTTATACAATTTTTCAAAAAAAGAAGTTGTTGTAATTAAATTTGAAACGCAACGGTCTAATTAATATTGATGAACACTATATTAATACGTCTACGAATTCCCAAGTTATTTAATAAATTAACGCAATTTGGCCACGTGAAAAGGAAATATTTTTCGGTAGAACTTCCAAGGACCGATTATGATTTGCGATTTCGGCGGTAGTAAGGCGATTTTTCGAAACACATTTTTTCAAGGCTAGCAGCAACTTTTGTGGAATTTGAAAATCTTAATCCGTACACTGGATGGCAGTTTAAAATATGGCCCGGGCAACTAGCCGTGATTCTTGCGGAATTTTCGAAAAAAATCTCGAAAGTTCTCCTAAAATTTCGAAAAAATTTAGGTTTAAAATTTTTTAAAAAAATCTAAAAATCGAAGCACACCGCTTCCAGCTTTGTAAAATGCCGACAGCCGTCCAATTAGCCGTAAACAGGGCGCAGGAAAATATTTTTTGAAAATGCGGCGCGTTGAAATGATAGGGTTGTTGGGGGGAAATTACAAATTTCCCCCCGGCGGTACAAATTCCATTTTTTTCGGCCGATTTTATGTGGTCGCCGAGCACATTTTGTTTATTTGTCCGACGCGCTAGTGGTTTTAATTGAATTCTTAAATTAGAAACGGCATTACGAATTGGGCTATATGCGACAAAAAAATTATCAAGTGCAGGAGCCGGGTTCGACCCCCGGCCGCGGCTAACATTTTGCTTTTTGCCATTTTGATAGATTTTTCGATTGGAATGTCTAAACTGGGAGCCAGACTACAGACTAAAGGTTTTAGGCGAAGCTACAAACTACAGAAAGCCTACTAGGTGAACGACCCGGGTTCGACACCCAGCGGAGGCTAGCTTTTTGCTTTTTGAAAACTTGAGGCTGAAGTTTGAGCAGGAAAACGTAGGATCATAGTGAAGGCTGATCTTCGTCATTTGGAAGATAGAGCGCGAGCGAGAGAGAGAGAGAGAGAGAGAGAGAGAGAGAGAGAGAAGGCAGCGAAAAAGTACGCCCGACACCTAATTACGGGCGGCCGTAATTAATTATTTTTTCGTACTCGCATGATCCAGCAGTGGCCCCTTAATTAAATGCCCTCGGAAAAAATAAAAAGAAAATGGTAGATTAATTAAACCAAATGATAAAATATACGAGTGAAAATTAAAATTTTTTAAAATTCTGGAAATTAAAACATCGCTAAACTGAAAAACGATAAATTAACAGATAAATGACGCATTTAAAAAAATGATAACAATGCAAAAATTCAGAAAAATTCCGCAAAAATACTCCTCACGTAATTGGGGGTGTTATTTTTGTGGCCACTCCCGCGCAACTTTTCCACTTCCCCACGGCCAATTAGGGGCGCAGATGTTTTGCGCAATTTTTCAAAGGTGTAAAAAATCAAATCGTGCTAAAAAATAACTTGGTAAATTGTAAAAATCAAAAAGTTTAACAAAAATTATCCGAATTTTAATTCATCAGTATCAATGAGAATGTGGCTGTCAATTGTCCCAAATGATCTTTGCTAGCCTGCCCCTCATTTTCAATCGCTTACGCCATTAAATTCCTAAAGTCAGAGTTTATTTGACCTTTGGGGAATCCTAAATGCTCTCTGCTAGCTCGCCCTGAATGCTGATAAATTACGCCATTAAATTCAGTCTCGACTGTGCCTTTAGAGGTTCCTAAATGATCTCTGCTAGCCAGCCTGGGCCTTGAAATTTCCTAAAAAATAGCATTCATTTCTGCGAAAAAATGCTTCACCATTTCATGGTATTTCGGAAAAGATCAAAATGACAATTCGTAGGTTTATTTGGTCCTCACTGTAAAGTGTTTTTACTCAACTTGGAGTTTCGATGCGGGACCAAGCGCATCTTGTGCAAAATTTTGCGCTGATTTCGAATCCATTTTCCAAGTTTGCTACCGACATTTACTTTGAAAGTTATAAGGCAATTATGGTAGAGTTTTCACCAAAATCAAGGTACCGTTATCGCTTTCGAATGTCTTGATCAATTTCAACGTCAAAATTGGATAGACATTGACTAGACAAGCTTATAAAAGGTCAAAACAAGTTTTTTGATAAAAGAATTAGATTTGTTATGCAAAAAGCAAAAGGTTTTGGCAGGGCGGGGGATCGAACCGCCGCCCTGCGCTTGGCAAGCGAGTACTTTGCCAATGCACCATGGTGCCAACCGGGAAGGGTGCTGTCAGAGGGTACTTCAGGGCCCCTGGCAACTATAGCCCCAAACAAGGAATAGTGGGCCAGCGTCTGAATTTTTGGCATTTTTCGGCCTAATTGTTACCAAAAATGATTTTTAAAATAAAAGTCCGTAGCAAATTTGGAAAACATATTCGGAATCAGCGAAAAATTCTGCACAAGATGCGCTTGGTCCCGAATCGAAACTCCAAGTTGAGTAAAAACACTTTACCGTCAGCTAATCACATCTCTGAGATTTTTGGAGAAAAAGGTCCTGACCAGTTAAGCCGCTTAATTATGTTTTCATGGGTCCTAAAATGTCCCAAATGATCTCTGCCAGTTTGCCTGAATTTTCGGAAAATCATCAAAATCATCGCAAAATCTGCCCTTCAAATTTGCCACAAAACGTTTTAGAAAAATTCGATAGCCAATTA